GAAATAAATCCTTTCAACACACCATCACATGAGGTTGTTCCTTTGAAAATAAATTTATGCCATTAAAATATCACAAAATACTTGATTTAGACTCTACTTCTTTCAAGTTTGTTTTATTTCACTGGTACATGTTTAACATGTTTTGCTGGGTAATAAAGGGATTGCTTAGATCATTAAGGAAAACGTATTTAGGTCCTTTGGTGAATAGGGACCAAGGTGTAAATCCAGCACACACCAATTTTTGGTAGAATGTGTTGCAAATACAGTAGGCACAAAATGATACCAAAAATAATCTGTATGCATTTTAGACTTCTCTCAAGAAAAGAGAAGCCCTGTCTTCAATTAATAGAAAGCAATTATCCTAGGATTTGTAGGGACTGTAGGATTGAGATTCCAGTGTAACAGTTTCATTAGTAGAACAGGGACTGATGCAGGTTTGTACAGCATGAGTCAGCATATAGTCCATTTTGCTCGTTTCTTTTTTACTCCAACTGTTCCATGTAAGCCTACTGATTAGTGAAGTTATGAAAAAGGGGTGAGGAAGTTAAAAAGTAAAAATGACCCTCTTCTGGATGAAATGAACTATGACACCAAAACCAGAATTAGTACTGGGGAGTTCTATCACTTCAGAGCTTCTGCATTATCATCACACTGCTTACATACACTAAACCATAAATACTCTGATCAATGGAACATCGTTTAGCAGACTACAACATTTCTTTTTAAAAAATCATTAAGCCTGGTCTTGACTATTCCAGTTATTTAAATGTATATCGTAAGCAAAGTTATATATCTGTAAAACGATTTCCTACAACGTTCAACATACACATAACCAACGATCTGTAACTTTGGTGCACATTCACTGGTATCAAAGACCTTATAACCAAGCAATGAATCTGGCCCATTGACTCCTCTGGTTAAATCTAAACTATAGCACTATGCTCCAAATTTATAAACAGATACAAAAGAGCATCTTGGGACACATGCATCGTGGATGCAGAGATGTTGTCTTAAACACATTTTTCATAAGCTGCCTTGGAGTTCATTTGTAATCTATAATCACTGGATTTGTATATTAGTGGTAAGATTTAAAATATTAATAAAATGAATTTAGTCTCTTCACGGGATACCCCATAGTGTCAACGTTTGCTTCAGTTTCATTTCAAGGATTCAAGTTTGCAACTCCAACATTGGTGCTAATCTTTGATGCATCACAGAAATTGAAAGTATTGATTTCATGGAAAAAATGCAATGCATTATACATCTCTATATAATATCTTTTCTTCAAAAAATCCATTCAACAGAATGATTATTAAAAGGCAGATTTACAGAACCATCTCATAACTTCCTAAACTTTTTTATTTCTCTATATGCCTAAAAATATCTAAGTTACCAAAATCTCTCTCTGAATCCATGATTCCTTTGTTCCTGCCTTTGATACTGTTTTGTATTTGATAAATTGACAATGCCACATCCAGTAAAAAACAAAAGCAGTATTTGGGTTTGTTGTTAGATCAATTGCAGGTTGCAGGTATCACAAACTCTACTACAATTCAAGTATCCAGGTTGCAGCTGTATTGGTCTAGAGATGAAAAGAATCAAAACTTGTGGAAGAGGAAATATGTTTTATTAGACTAACTAGATATTTGCAAATAAATTATTTTATTTATTTGCAAGCTTTTGGGAGCACATACCCTTCATCAGGCATAGGAGAGAGCAGAGGTTGTAAAAGTTTTCCTAGGCAGCAATGAAAATTCATATTTCACAGGATATTTATATGAGTATAAAAAAAGGTTGGCTGCAAGTCCACAGTATGCCAGTCACTTCTGGACTTCTGGTCTGGCAGCCAACCCTTCACGGCCTGGAGGTTGAGAACCTCTGGCCTAAATTACTCAAGAGAGGTCATCAATGACAATAAGCATCCAACATAGGTATGCTAAATAGTCAGGCCCTTCTAAACAATGTCAAATTTAACACAAGGGGCTATAAGAATAGCACCTGGCTGTTCAGGCCATTTGGGGAACAGTTGGGAAACTGAATGATAGACAGTATCTTTGGGATGTTGGATTAGTAATCTTCATCTCTGAAAGGATGCAAATATTCTCCTGGTCTTAATTAGATCAGGAAAGACTCCTGCTCTCCTGCTGTGGTAAACAAACATACCTGGGCAGTGGGGTAGGGTGGGGTGGGGTGGGGTGGGATAAGGTGGGGGCGGGGGCAGAAAGTTATCTACATAGTGTAGGCTCTCCAAGAATCCTATGAGTGATGGATGTAATAGATATATAAGAAACTATACTTAAGTCTTTGACTTTAGTTTTCCTGGGCAGAAGAAAATGGACTGAATCTCCTGGCTGACAGAAGCGGCAGGAAGCCCTGATAGAAAGGTCCAGGCAGAGGCTGGACATGTTCTAATATGTTGAGCTAAGTAAAAGCTGCATTTTTGTGTTTAAGATGCAGGGTAGGGTAAGATTATTGTTCTGATATTTTCGTGTGCTTGTTTATTCTTATTCTTTGTCTGTATTTCAATATATGGTTACTGATTCTTATGTTTGCTCTTGTTTTAACAAAAAAATCTTTTATAACTTTTATAGCTTACAAATTGTCAAGGTAATTGTGTCACAGTATTTGACTATATACAGGCGTCTTCTCCAGAAAGGGCGGGAATTGGGGGGCATCTTTCCTGAGTGCACGACTGGAGAAAGGTATGATTCTTCTAGCTGGCAAAAATGCCCCTTTCTGAGAGCTGACAAGAGGTAGGTGAGGTGGGTGAAGCCAGAGCACCATGGGTCAGGGAGATCACCTTTCAGAATCTCAGTCTGTTTGCACAGAGGGGTCTAGGGCTGAGGGGCACCCCTGAAGGTGTGAAAACACCCTGGGAGTGTATCTGAAAGGTGCACCTGGCTGTATTCAGGGTGGGGGAGTGTCACGGTAGGGACCATTTTCCATGTTTGCATGCAAAGCATGTACAAGTAACTACTCGATTTACATTGCTTTTTGGCTATATGCTTATGTAAGTTTATTATATGCAAGTGTGTATGAAATTATATAGACCTGATTTTGAAAACCTGCCTTAATATAAAACTTTATTACAATGTGCCATATAATGATGTTCATAGAAGCTACATTTTTGGGACAGAATTTTTTCTTTGTAGCCTGCTCAAGTTCAACCAATTGCATAAGGTGTTAAATACAAAAATGATCATTTATTTGGAATCAAATAAAATATCTGATCTTGTAGTTCTGACTCAGGCAACATTCTCATGTTTTCACTGAGTCAGGACACTAGAAATGGACCCTATTAAAGTTTTCTTGGGGGTGGGGAGGGGGGGGAGTGGAGGATGACACTCATTATAGAAAAGTCTATCTACTGCTCTAAGTGTTAACTGAATTTCTAAATCCACACCTTCCAGCTGGAATCAAACATTTCATGAAATGATCAAGAAGAGTCAAGGTGTTTCAATTCTGTAATGGCTTAGTTTCTAGACAGTAGGACTGTGCGAAGCAGCAAGTATTTGCTTCAGATTCAGATTTGGCCAATTCAGAGGACAGCAATTCAATTCAGAGACTTGGATCACTGTCCTAATTAGATCTGGCCAAATCAGATCCAAAAGATTTGGTGCCACTTAGGTGCCACTTTGGAGATTCAGCCATAAATTAAACAGGCAGCTGACAGCTGCCTCCAGCTGGTAAGTCTGTTGGAGTTGGGGCTCTGTGGTGCCACCGCTTGCCAGCCGGGGCAGATGCTGCTGCCACTTGCCACGCAGGGTGGAGGGCGTGGGATGTGGGCACATCAGCACTGGGAGTGGGGACTCTGCTCTGCTACCACTTGCCAGCTGAGGCAGGGGGGCACAGAATGTGGGTGTATCAGCACTGGGAGTGGGGGCTCTGCCCTGTTGCCTCTTGCCAATCGGGACAGGCAGGTGGGCCCTGCCACCACTTGCAAGCTGGGACAGACGCTGCTGCCACTTTCCAACCAAGGCGGGGAGGCAGGCTCAGGATGTGAGCACATCAGTGCTGGGAGTGGGGACTCTTCTCTGCTGCTGCTTGCCAGCCAGGGTGGGGGGCACAGGATGCGGCCACTGCCACTGCTTGCCAGCCAGGGTGGGGGGGCATTGGATGCAGGCACAGCAGCACTGGGAGCAGGGGCTCTGCCCTGCCACCACTTGCCAGCTGGGGTGGGGAGGCGGGTGCTGCCACCACTTGCAAGCTAGGGCAGGGGGGTGGACACTGCTGCTGTTTGCCAGCTGGGGCAGGGGGGGAGGGATCCAGGTGAGGCAGCACTGGGAGTGGGGGATCAGCCCTGCTGCTGCTTGCCCCCTTCCTCCCAGAGTGAGCCACACCCACATCCCCCCTACCCCACCCTGGCTGGGCAAGCAGCAGCAGGGCTGAGCCCCAACTCCAAGTGCTGCTGCGCCCGCATGCCACACCCCGTAAACTGCCTGTTTAGTCTATGGCTGAATCCCCGAATCAGCCAAATCTTTTCCAAAGCTTTTTAAAATCAATTTGGAGACTTTGAATCAATTTGGAACTTTTAATTTATCTCCCGATTCGATTCAGTCCCCAAATCAGGCCGAATCTGCTCCGAATTGAATCAGCTACTGAAGCTTCACACAGCCCTACTAGATAGTAATCTTTGCCAAAACCAAGTAGAAACAATCCACGTATCTCTGCAGATTTGAGCATGACAAAAAGGAACACAATGATATAAGGTGAAGAAACAGTAACATGAAATGTTTTCCAGAGAAGTGTTTGTCAGAATTTTAAACTTTTTTTTAAGACATCTTTTGTCTGAATTTTTGTTGCAGCTCAGAATATAAAGCTTTGACAATAGCAGTCTCATCATACTAGTAAGACCCATCATTTCTGCTGAAATGTTTCTGCTTAGCAAAACTGAATTTCCACCTTCAAGGGCACAGAGAAATATTGCCATAGAGACCACCTATTTTTAGAAAGAACTATCAAATGTGCATCTAGTACTTTGTACTCTCTTTCTTGATCAGCATAGCTGTGATGAATAACACTTTGGCAGGGAGAAGGGCAGCATTACTGGTGAGTGAATTGTGAAATGAAAACAAACATAAAACAAAGTATGTGTACAGAAGTTCTGAAGACAGTTTGCAGTAGGTTGCATGTGTGTGTGGGGGGGTGATTTCATTTTAATTCTAGTGGTTACTTTCTTTAGTCTAATCACCATTGTGGACAATGTCAGTTTTTGTCAATTGTATGGAACTTTGGTTTGACTTGGAAATCATACATCCAATCCCATTTTGGTTCACTGAAGTTGAATATTAACATTATCCTAATGGGGGAAATGGAAAACTGGAACACCAAAAAGCACTTGTTGAATGTTTCAGGTTAAACTAAAGTGATCTCTATTACTATCTTCTGATTGGGGCGGGGGTGGGGAGGGGATTTAGTTTCTGGTTCCTCTGGAGTTGATTTTTCCATCAGATCTGGCACATACTGTATACCTCCATTGTACAGTGATTTAACGAAAAACATATGGATAATATTATGATACCAATAGCTACGTAAGACAAGTACATTTTGTATAAGAAGAAATAACAGAGTACCTAACCTGTGTTTTGCCTCCAAAACATCAGACAATTTAGCACTGGCAACATTACACACAGAACACAAGAACTCAGAATACACAGAATTGTCCTCAAAATAAATAGGAACTACAAGTGCAGGATAAAAGAAAACAGGAGTGGAGGAGAATGTTAAAAGACAATGAAATGGGCAGGGAAGAAGAGGTACCCAGAGGGAAAGGAAAAATAACGATATGAGGTTACAGGAAAATGGATGCAGAATAGCAAGCTAAAAAGAGGAGAAGCAATGCAGTAGAAAAATTGTGGTAGGAACAATAATAGGAAGGAATAGTAATAGAACAGTGGTAGGAGCTTAATCTTGCAATTAAGGCACTGGAGCACAAGATAGGACATCCATATTCAAATCTGGATATTGCCAGAGATGCCCATATATGATCGTGAACAAGTCCTTTAATCTTTGTGTCTATACAAAAAAGCTGATCTTTGGTCTGTCTTAACTTTTTGCAGTTTTTAGGGTGGAAAGACAGTTTTTACTTTTCATATGTACAGTGCCTGGCACGATGGAGACTCAGCCTCAGTTGGACTTGCTAGCCACTTATATTTATGTCAGGGTAAGTAATCTTTTGACTGCACGTGTGTGACTAGGATTGGGTTCATTGCTCAGCTATTTTTAATGGAGGAGGACATGAAAGATCAAGTTTCTAGAGCTTTCTTTTCTTTTCTTTTCTTTTCTTTCCTTTATAAGGAATGGTTGCAGGACCCTGGGGTATAAGAGTCTAGTCACTCACTCTGTCACAATCTGACCTTATGATGAGTATTGATTAGTATATGCCACTTGAGTTAGCTCAGTGCTACAATTATCTTCTCTGGTTTATTACCTGCTCAAAACTGATTTGCATAATTGCTATATGTTGCTTTTCAATGAATAGTATTCTTCACCACATACACAATAAAATGTAATGATGTGCACTTTCAACTGCCCCCATTTCTTTCAAGCCAAGAGCACTGAAGGAGCTAAGAATAAATGGTACACACTATTGAAAGGTTGGAAAAGAACTCAGAAAATTATTTTCACATTTTATTCACCTAATAGATCTATGATACATACTAAATGCCAACTGTGCTGTTTGATTGGTCTGAATACCAAAGGCCTTTTAAAGATTCATACACTGATGAATCAAATCCTCTGATTCTATTAGAAACATCATATTTGTAAAACAATTCTTCTCTTCCACATTTTACATTATCATCAACATCTCTGCCCTGTTAACTTCCTTTTCTTGCCAAGGGATAAAAATATTAAAGGGTACATCATTGTCCTGACCCATAGCAACATCCATCTGTATTACCACTACCACCACTATAATTTTTTGTCTACAGCCCAAAATTAGTTCAAAATTGCTGCATTCAAAGCTTGGATCACTTACTGTCATGTCTGTCTACAAGTCTTTGAACATATTATCTACCTAGGTTTAGGTTTACTTCCCCCAAATTGATATTTATGCCACCCTCACATGCTACTTCTTCTACAATCAGATTCTTTAGTCCTAAAGCTATACAGAATGTTATTATGTTAGATGGAATCATTTGTACTTGTATCATTTGTATTTAGTGTGAGTAAAGGTTCTAGGCCCTGCTCCTCTATATCCATCATTTCATGTATATGTAATGCTTATAAATGTCAATTATTTTTACAGGTCTTTGCTAGATTCCAGGCAGAATGGTGTCAAAAGGGAAAAATCACTTTACCATGTCAACAATACTGGCACTCTAACTAAAATCAACAACTCTTAACAAGTAGGTCTAAGATCAGAGCACCTTATTGTCATTTGAATTCTCAGTAGCATATTTTATGTGATGCCTCCATATTTGAGATTTAACAAATTGGCAATTCTTGAAATAAAAGAACAGTTGAACCCTAGTAAGTCTGAATATATTCAGAACAGAGGCCAAATTAGACTTCTATTACTCCACTGTGGATCAGGGGTAATAACTTAATGAATCCAATGGGTGTGTTCCCATGAGTGCACACATGCATTCCCCATGGGACAAACAGCAGTGACACAAGTATGTTCCTGGGCATGCCCTTACACGTGAGCTGTAGTGCATGGCAAAGTGCCCTGGATAGGGTAGGGGAGGCTGGGGCCAGCACCTGGCTGGCCGCAGCAGCCTTATCTGGGGACCTGGGCATCTCCTGGGGCAGCAGTGGTGGTGATCTGGGCACGCAGAACCTAGACAGCAGCCAGACCATGGCTCTGGCCAGTCAGGCTCCCCTTCTGGCAGCACATGGTCCTGCCACATGCGCCATGCTGTATTTTTAGTGGTTTTTCTTTCCCACCGGTATCCCCTGGTATCAAAAAACCCCACTGTGCTGCAAATTAGCAGCACAGAGAAAGCATGCACATGCACTACATGTGGTTTGCAGTGTTGAAAACTGCATGTGTATGCTCATGGGGACGTGCTCAATGGAGTTAATCCAGCTTTATGCAGAAGTACTAGATCTCAGAACTGGAACCACAGAGATTCTATGGGTTTCCACCTTCCTCTAAGGAAATATTTGAGAAGGAGAGTCTAATCATAACTTGCACTTAACTTCTGCTTAGTCAAGCCAAACAGCTGAAGTTACTTTTGCCCTGGTTTTCGTAGGCATTCTCACTGTTTCTACAATCCTTTGCGCCTGGTGGATGGCTCATAGATTAGGCAAAAGTAAAGAGAGACAGAAACAGAAAATACCAAATAGAACTCAACACTACAAAGGGTGTGTTTAGGGTGTGTCTAAACACACCCTTTGTAGTGTTGAGTTCTATTTGGTATTTTCATGTAATTTCATGAAATTAGTGTTCAGCAATAAACCAAATGGATCCAGACCATGTCATGACAAGAAATGTAAAACCTGCCAATATATCTCCACAACCCCCACAATTCCTACACCCTGCAATAGAACCATCAGCATCCCTGGTTCTTACACCTGTACTTACAAAAATGTAATATATCTCATCCAGTACACTAAATGCCCGGATGGAAAATATGTAGGAGAGACCAAACAACAACTGCGCACACTAGAAATCTTTCAGAGACAAGAATACCCAATTACCTGTGGGGGCACATTTCTCACAAGAAAACCACTCTCTCTCTGATCACTCAGTTCTAATCCTGAAAGAGAATTTACAAAACCCCTTTCATAGACAAGCCTGTGAACTTCACTTCATCAACCTCCTGGATACAAAAAATCATGGACTAAATATGGACATTGGATTTATGACACATTATAACCTGCCAGACATCTGACTCCCAGGTACCTCTCCATTATTTACCAGCTACTTTCATTCCCCTCCCCTCCACTCCCCACCCCCAGCCGGTCTCTGACCCACTGACTCCTCAATCTTCACTGACTGGTTTTCTTACATGCATACCAGCCTCTGGCTTCTTTACTATTCATTCCATCCAGGAAGAGCACACACCAACTGCAGATGTTTCCTCAGCCTGAAGAAGAGTATTTATACCCAAAAGCTTGCAAAGAAGAATTATTCCAACTATTTGAGTAGGTCTAATAAACGATACCAGATTTGCCCAAAGAACCTTGTCTGCCTATGTCCTTAAACCAACATGGCTACAACATATACCTCTGTAATAAACTGTGAAGCTTATTGCTTTGCAGTTTATTGCTCCTGGAAAGCAACCCAGGTATGCTGTTTACACATATGTCCTGATCACAGCACATTCAGCTGGGTTGCAGCAACCCCAGCTGCCAGGGGCCCAGGGGGTCAGCCTGCCAGCCTGGGGCTACTCTGGCTGGGTTCAATGTGCTATGGACGGGTTGGGTAGGTCACAAGCATACTTCAGCATGGGGCTAGCCAGCAGGCAGCCCCACACTGAAGCACCCTCCATACCCCAGGGGCCAGCTGCTATGCATGAAAAAAATCTGCAGAGTTTATTAGTTTTGTGTGCCCTAATAGGAGGTGCATATGTAGAAACGGAGATGTTTACTGTGCAATTAATTAGTCAATTGCACAGTAAACATCTCCTGTAGACACACCCATAACATATTCACATTATTCGTGCTAAATTAGTAGTTTACCAGTAATGTATCACTACTTCATATCACAAAATACCAAGTTTAGCAAGTTAAAATCAATAATGTAAGCCTTAAGTTTTTTAAAGAAGAAAACAATTAACCTGCCAGCCCAAATGATCCAGTAACAAAGGAGTTTGTCCAGCTTTTAATTATGTATACTTTGGGGTTTTTTGTTCTACAATCAAATGCCAAAGCAAGGATTTTCCATGACTACTGAGGTAGTCCCATTCTAATACCATATAGCCATTTGTCACACCATGCCAGAGCTTTCAACCTATGTGCCGTGAGCTTCATATCTCCATCCCCCCTTCCTCTCCTGAGCTCAACCCACCTTCACTTTTCTCACTGCAGATACCTAGCCCCTCTTCAGCAAAGGTAAGTGGAGGCACCAGAGAGCAGCAGCAGGGACTGCTGAGGGCAGCTCATGTGGCAGGTCATGGCAGCAGGTGGGCAGCTCAGCACACCTGCATGCTGCCTGATCCTCTGTGCTGCTTCAAGCTGGGTTGGACCTTTCTGGGCTAGATCCAACCTCTTTGTGAGATTGTCATAAATCGTCAGTCCCTGACAAATAGGGTACATGGGGGGAAAGACCTGCTCATGTGAGGTGAAGAATCATACATTTTATTAAAAAGCTAAGACAATGCATTAAAAAGTATGAGAAATATATTAGCTTCCAGGCTGTTTTATTTATTTATTTATTTTAATTTTGGGGTAATGGATGCTTCTCAACTTTTATCTTACTATGAGAGGAGATTAGATGGAAATGCTGTTTAATGAAGCACTGCTTATTTTTCCCCTTTGCCATTTTTTACATGACACAAATGGAGAGCAGGCATATTGCACCTCTTTAAACAGTCCAGGGATTTCCATTGTTTAGGTCTGCTCAAGCAGTTTATTCTTATTAGACTGCAAAGAAGACTCATTAGGAGTTTTTGATGCTGAATTAATTTGCTTCCTTTTCTTTGCTGTGTGTCACCTATGAAATCTCTTGAAAAAAACTGAGCAGAATGCAGTTTGTTTTCAGCATCTTTTTGTTTTTAATGGATTGTTTGTGAAATCTTTTCACAGGAAATGAGGACAATCGGAGATTTTTTTCTCTGTTTTATAAATGAGTTGTAGTTAATGCTAGAGGTTAAACTACAAAATATATAATATGATAGGAACTGCAACATTATCATTTAAAAAACACATTATTATACCATTTAAAAAAATTCTACTAATAATATGCCATGAAATATATTCCCTTGAGATGTGGTTTAAAAAAATCTTCCTCTTCCTGTTAGGGAAA